ACAGCTGAAAATGGGATATTGATTTGAACTGCAGTCAAATATGGTTTGGTTTTCTTTCCTCTAATTTTGAGTCATTTTTTGTGGTAGAGTCCTGAGTCGTTTCCTATATACATATATTTTCAAATCCTGACTCCTTAAGGACAACTTAAGGCAGTTGCTTAAGGCACTGTTTTTTGACTTAAGATCTACCAAGTTCTAGTTGTTTGGCAGTTTAAGGCCAGCACATCAGGATATCTTGGTCATTCAAAACTACTCAAGCTCCAGGTATTCATTTAAGACTGTCATGTTAAATGGATAAACATAAGGATATTGTACATTAATTGTTTTAATTTTTAAAATATTTGTTTAGAGGAGTTACCTGAGTGCCCATGTAGGTGTTTCATTTTGACACTTAGAGCATCCAAAATTTATTTAAAGGTATATACTCTTTTACAGTCAAGCATTGCTTTTGAACCTATTTAACTGTTCAGATGTCAGGTCTGGACATGCTAAAGCAGTTTCTGGTTGCACAGGACAGGCAGGTGCCCTGCTTTTTGTTGGCTTTGTCAGAATATGCCAGAGAGGTGTTCCCTGCTGTGCTATACAGTGGCTACAGAGCTCCCTGAAAAGAGCTCAGGTGTACTGCAAACTGGTTTTCTACAGGTTTTCTGTTAAGTTTAAGTCATGTGATGAAACAATATTTAGTAGGAGAACTTTGGCCATAATTGTTGCTCAGTTTTTCCTTTTACTTAAGGAGAATTTGAAATCCAGTGGAGTCAGTGTGGAATTGCCCTGGAACACTTAAAACACTTAGACCAAATCTCTTCATTATTCAGATTCCTGTTGTAATCCTAACAGCTACAGCACTGTAGTCTTTTGTTTTGCAAGATGAAACCATGACAAGTAACAAAACTGATATTGGAAATGGAAAGCATGAATGAAGATTTTTTTTTTTTTTTTAATAAAGGAGTACAGAACACAGAACAAAAGGAACTTCTGGCATTTGAGAGACGTTATCCTGAGTTTGGCATAAAACCACATAGGTTCAAAGGTGTTTTGGAGCACATGCTCATGTATTGTTACCAAGTTTTCTCTGTATAAATTATGAATAAATAAAAATTGGTTTACAAATCTCTGCATCAGTACTGTAGCTTACTTAGGATCATCAAAACTCGTCTCAGGGCTTTCTTGGTGCTACATTGTAGGTTTATGGACAAAATAGGTCTTGTAAACTATTAATTGTAATATCATAAAACTTTAATAAAAGTAAGAATTAAATTATTCTTTTAGCCAAATGCCACTAGACCTGCTTTTTATTCCCTTCTGTGGATTAGTATTCCTCTGAAACCATTGTTCCTTGGCTGTCACATTTCGCCATGTACAAAGAGAATGTTCATAAGATTTTCTAATGCTCTAAGATTCATAATTCTAAAACTTCCCTCCAACATATCTTTTTTTAAGAAATTAACTTAAATATGATATTATGTTTCATCTAGTTTAAATTTTACATCTACATAGAAGTTTGCTCAAAGAAAAGGAATTACAGGCATTTTTCTATGCAATTCATTCCACCACTTACTTTTTGATGGAGAAAGTTGAGGATTGTTTCTTTCAAGTGAAAGAAAAAACATCTAGCTAAAAAGAATATGAAAAATGTTTGATAATGTTATCTGACTGCTGTCTATAATATAGAAAACAAGTTGTTTTCAATTATAGTAGGTTATTTATATGAACTACTTGTAGATATACATGGAAATACCTTTGGGCTTCTGGAAGTTGATATGACAGTCTCCTGCAGGAGGGTGTTTGCTTAAATTTATTGTTTGTAACTTATATTTTTCTTTCAGCACTTGGGTTTTAAAGAGCTGTCAAAGTAAAACTAGTGTGAGAGGTTTTTTGTTGGGGTTTTTTCAGGGTTTTTTTTTGTGTGTGTGTGTATTTGTTTTTATCATGTTAGATCCTTTAGTTTACTTTTGTAAGTTTGAACTTACAGCCTTCTTTTTATACTATACTTGTTTCTTTCTAAACACTGGGCATGTTTTTCTTCTTCTCCATTGTTCCCTTTTAGCACGACAATCCTTGTCCCACTTCCTTACCATGTGCTTCTTCAAATTGAAGCTCATTTAGGGTAATACTCTGCATCTTGGAAGCACAGGTCCTTATCTGTGCTGGCAGGCAAACAAAGGATCTCTTAATACTTTTCACATATGTGGAAACTACATCTATAATCACCCTGAAGATGAAAATAAAGTCATTAAATGGATATTACGTGTCATTATTTTATCTTATAACGTCAGCCCTCAGCCATTTAGCAGGCTTAGGATATTTGGGACCAAAATGGGTGTAATTAATGCCAGTGTACTTGTTTATTTTAGAACTTCCAACTGTCTTGTGGGTAACAAAATAAAATCTAATTATTTTGATATTTTATTAAGTGGTTTGTCAGCCATTATATAATTATTTCTTATGAAAAAAAAGAAAACCAAAACAAAGCAATCTGAAAATTATGGCTATCAGAAAGGTAAAGCCTGTTGATATTTTTTGTGAGAACAACAATTGAAATGTAAGTCTTGAGGAAGAGAAACAGATGAAATAGTGCTGTGAGACTATAGTGAATGTTGTTTTTCCTATTGTGTACAATTATATGTAATTAGATCTGTCCTTTTTTCATTATGCTGTCTCAAAATTATTTCTACCTATCTATGTACTGAATGAACTTGTAAATAAGATAGCAAGATCAACATAGTCTGAAGAAATAATTAGTAACAATTTAACAGAAATTGTTCTGTTCAGGCTAAATCAATAATAAAGGAGGTGAATAAATGGGTGGAAACCTTAAGTAATTACAAATCCTTTAAATTATTCTTGAATTAGAAAGCAGGAGAAAAGAACATATTTAATTACTTTTAGAGATTCATTAGAAGACAACTTTCTGAATTCAGTCTTTGTTCTTTCTTCCCTGGAATACACTCATTTAAGCAGCTGGTATTCTGTTTTCTGTACCTTGTTGAACTTCTCATTCAACTTGGTGAGCTGGCCTACACATACAAACCCAGGTGTTCAATTTTTTCCCCACAAGATGAATTCTAAACATTGCTGTGAAGAAGACTTCTTGTTCTGTTAACTAACTACTCCACTTTGGTTTCAGACTGCTCTTTTTTGGCACAATTATTATTTTTTCATCACTCAAAGGAATTTTTTTTTTTGTGTTCTGTATAGTTGAGAGGAACTTTTGAGAAATACTAAGTTTACCTTACTTAATGAAAATATACCAGTAGGTTTAGATGGGACATGTAATTAAAAAAAAAAAAAAAATCTAATAACCTGCTTTTTTATTCTTCTGTACCATAGAAAGTTCTTCCTGGACATGTGACTATATTGACTAGATTTTACTTTTTTACTGTTTTTAATTTTTGTTACAGAAGTATTTCCTTATGGACTTTTGATATGTATTCATAATCTATAAAAGATCTGTTGTCTTCACAGTGCTTTTCTGTATTTGCAACTGTGGTATTGCAGAAGAGTTACTAGCTTTTTTATGCATCATGAGGAAGAGGAAATCCTCAAAGGGCAAAGAGGTGTCAAGATTGACTCTAAAATTATTACAACTAAATTAGAATTAAGCAGAATGAATTGGGGAAGCAGGTATTCTGTGAATCACCATGGAAATGTGAAAGTCAGAGAATCTAGAGAGTCCTGCTGAGACTTGGGTCCCACTCAAAACCTAACACTTCAATTTTGGTTGTCTGGACCTTGAGAAGCACAATTAGAAAGATTCTGCATAAAAACACTTGCTAATTCACCTAAATGTTTTTTGGTAGAAACTATTACTGAAGAAGCCCATTCTCAATCAAAAGCCATGAAAGATTGCCTTCTTAGTTTGTGTTTTGGATTTACAGACCACTGAGAAATTGAGTTAATTTTTAAAATAAATGGATGACTTAATTTTGTTTAACCAGTCTCCCTTCTTTAGCTGGAAAGGCAACTAGCACTGCAGAACCTGATGAGAGAGAGACAAACAGCCATGCAGATTGCTTGGACACAAGAATTTCTTAAATATTTTGGGACATTTTTTGGACTTGCTGCTGTAGTTTTAGCAACTGGGTATAAAGTTTATTCCCTAACAGAAAATATTTTACATTATATATTTCTATTTTTCTAGGTCTTGGTTTTGCACTAAAAGTAGTTATTTTTATCTAGTGGTTGCTCAGAGATTGATCAAATGACAAATAGACTCTGAATTCTGTCTGCTTTTAATGTGCTCTGGTTATGTCTGTACTGCAGATTTATTTAAAAGCAGAGACATGAGCTGACAATAAAATGGCAGTAAAATATCTGAAGTACAAGAAGTCCAGTGCAAAGTAAAAGTTGTATGTGGAAGAGGAGAGAGTATTTAAATGCCGTGCTATTTTCTTGTCTGTACTGAGATTTAATGAACTGTTAGTGAGTCGCACATCCTCCATCTGGATTTTTTTAATGTAGTGAACAAGTGGACATATTCTCAAGTCTACTCACTTAAATTTGAATCAACTGACCCAAGGAAAAAAGAAACCTGGCTGATAAAGCTATATTGCATAGGGAAGAACTTGCCCTACAGTATTTTTTGTTGATAATGTTTTCTTAGGCTGTAATCTGTTTAGAGGAAATTAGGAAACATTTGCAGTTTTGTGTATATAGTGAAGATTAAATGCACCTTATGCATTATGGCTTCTCTGTAGCATTTGGAAATGAACATAGAATCCATATTGTGACATGTTGCTGCTGGGTAGATGGCACTGCACATGCATGCTAAATGAGTTAGATTATCACATATTTGTTAGGTAATTTCAAAAATTACTATTGTGATTTAACAATATTCTTGGGTTGAGAAAGGAGGCAACCAGAAGCCAATGTTTCTGAGGAAATAAAGATTTGGTCTATTAGAGATTAAAGATTTTTTAGAAGGATACACAAGTCTTAGACAGTCAGGGTCAAGTGCTGATGTGCTGAATATCCTATTTTTTTTTTTTTTTCTGGCACAGAGTAATAAAAAGGAAGAATCCAGCAGTTTTGCTGCCAATACTTCCCTTAGGCTTTGTATTTTCCTATCATTATGATATGGTCTATGGGACATTACTGCAAAGGATTAAAGGTATGTAAGTCTGTCCTGTTCTCTCAGAGAACCAAGCTTCAGATAATCTGTTATGGTTTTTTTGTTAGTTTTTTTTTGTTTGTTTGTTTGTTTTGTTTTGGGGTTTTTTTTGTTTTTTTTTTTAATGGCTGGGAGAAAACTTATAATAGATATTTGACATATTTTTGACAGAAATATTATGTCTCATTTTTTCCTTCTGTTGAAGTTCAGATATTTTGCCAGTCAAGGGTACTTACTATACTTTTACAGCATTTCTTTTCAGTTAAGGCTATAATTTTCTCTTCATGTTTCAAAATATTTGAATTCTAAGGTTATAAACACAGCTGATGTAGGAACCGAGTAACTGGGAGAAATGACAGATGTAGTGTAGAATACAGATTTACTTCTTTATTCTACTCCGCTGCTGTTGTTCTGGGGAAAGGGTTAGGGATGATAATATAAAGGAATACAGACATGAATCATGGCCTTTCACCTTCATGACCAAATACAGTCATCAGGTCATCTTACTGCAGTCATCTTGCTGCAGTCCTCCAAAGTCTGAAGAAAGGTAAGTCCTGGAAAGTGGGGTCTTGCCTCATAGTTGTCCCTTGTCTCTGTGATTAAATTATATACATTGTGTTGAAGTTTATGGAGATGCGTTTATGGTATCTGTGATTCCTAGTGCAGGAGACTGGCTCAGTGAGTGTTGACTGTAAGTAAAAACAGCATCAGGCATTGGCTTGTCACCTGCACAGATTCACTTAGTTAACTAGCTTGGTTGTCTTTTCTGCACAACCATATTGAAACAAAATAAAAATCTGTTTCAGCACTTAGTCTTTGGCCTCCAGATCTAACACTTAGGTTTCCTAACTCTGTATGCTTCATTGAAAATAGTGGTAGGCCAATTAGACAAAATCTGCTGTAGTTCCTGCTGCATGCAGGTGCAAATACATTTAGGTGATGCAGGATTCCCCAACAGCATTAAACAAACTTCTCTGGATTTTAATATGAAGAGTCACTTAAGCATAGGGAATAAAGGGTAGTCCTTGGAAATCAAACTGTTGAAAAGAAGATTAGTACACACAGAGCGGAATTAGTACTCGGAATTTAGGATTTATATGTAATGTGTTTTCTGTGTACCATGTGGTCCTGTATAGGTTGAAGAGGGGCAATGTGGTATCCTATTGCTTTCCAAATAGGAAAAGTCATTTGCAGCACTTTAGATCCGTTAGAAGAACTCCAGCAGTATGCAAGGCTTGTGAAAATGTTTTTCAGAAAAGAAATTGTAGAACCAAATAGAAAATAAAATTTTCTACTAGAAACATCAAGTTTCTAACATCAAATTAGAACATCAAGTTTTATCAACTAGAAACACCAAGTGAGGTTTCCTAGTATCATGGTATGGTTGAGGTTGGAAGGAATCTCTGAAGGTTGTCTGGTCCAAGCCCCCTGCTCAGACAGGATCATCCATAGCCAATTGCCCAGGAAAATGTCCAAAAGGCTTTTGAATATATCCACGGATGCATATTTCACAAGGTTAGTATGAATAGAGTACAGATGGGAAGGTGCAGGAAAATAATAACCCCTGTGGAAATATACATGTAATTCAGATCACTTCTGGAAAGGGAACTTCTGTACTTACACTGAAGAGCTAAAATTATTAGGGAATGACAAACTGCCTTATAAGAGAAAAAAAAAATTAATTTGTTTAGCTTTGTAAAAAGATGTGAGAGATTTAGGTCTACAGATCCTACTTACAGGATAGGATAAAGGAAAGTAAGAGAAGGAAATTAAACTCATTACCAATATCAGCACTGGATTAAAAGGAAATAGAATAGCCTGGATGAATCTGGTCTGGAAATCAGGTTCAGGAGTTCATTTTTATTTTATGGTTAAAATTACATAGTTGAAGAGAAGATTTTATGACACAATTGACCTGCAGCCACAATGCTTATTCTCAATACTCAACAGATCCCCATGTTCACTCCCATACCTTTGCAACCAATTCTCTGCTTTTGTATTTATTCTGTTGGTGCATGCCATGCTTAATCTCTCTGGTGTAATAATGAATGTATGCACCATTCCCTTTACTGTTCTTACTTTACATGGTCTCTTTCTTCCAGGGTATACTTGTCATTAACCTCATAGCCAATTCCTTCTCCTAAAATAATCTGCAATTATTTCTGTGCTGCATGGTGAACCTTGTATCTGAACTAACTTAATCACATAACATCTGCATCTGCTCCCTTTCATCCTTTGGCATAATTTTTTGCCCCTAAAAGGTTTCATTGCTTCTCCTTCGTTAGGCATTTTGTTTCTGATCTTGCTTACAGTTAATTTTTTCTTCTGTCTCTAGCCTACTTGACCAAAAATTATCTCATTATTTTAGTATTCTTCCACACTGAAATATTGGAAGGGTATTTTTTCCTTCTTTATAGCTTGGGCTAATTAAAACCCAAAACTGAAGATACACGGGGAAATACCTCTTTTGAGTTCTGCTTGTGTTGTTGGAAAGCCCTAAGTTTCCAGGGCTGTGTATCAGGATCTAATCTTTTGGGTATGTCAGGGTTACAGAAAAACTGTCAAACTATCTTTTCTAAACCTCTGAGGACACAAAGAATCAACCTGCTGTTCTGTGTTCTAGGCCTTGCTGTTTGTTTTTCCTCCTAGTCCAGGCATACACTGCTGGTATTTTCCACACAAATTATTAGAGGAGAGGATGGATTTTATGGCCAGCCTCTAATTGCACAGAACTTCTCCACTAAGCAATGGAATTCTGGCTACCTTTTCTGAGATTTAGATAGCTGAGTCCTTGTATCCTGAGCACTCAGTGGGGCAATGTCCTCTAGTACATGTGAGGGACAGGCGTAGAAATTTGTCTATCTATGTCTCTATCCCCAAGATCTCTTGCTATTTCATAATCAGATGCTATATGCAACTGAGTGATGTTGTGGGAGTGGCAACGAGTGCTGGATATTACTGATGGTCCCAGGCATTGTAGTACTACAAAACTTACAGCTGGGAGATGTCAGCACTCAGACCTGTTTTATAAAATGACCATAATCCTGACTGCATTGCAATATTTAGTCAGGCTGATCACACATAAATACAGTTTCAAACCACTGCTATAAGAATCATAAAGCTGGGATTTAAGACATGGATAAACAAGATCGTTCGCATTGTGCCAAATGGCATCAGCCGAAACAAATGCATTCTCTGCCTAATCTTCCTCTCTTCTTGTATCACAATCAGACCACCACAACCTATGTAAAATGTTGAGTCTGTATCTTTGTTTTTTGGATTCTCTGTCCTAGATGTTTTCATTCCAGCCTTACCCAGAGCAATCTGCACTCTACAACTTTTCCCTGCTATGCTTCATGTTTAGGTAACTGCCTTAGCAAAGCTTTTTGTGGGCAGTGGGCTTTGAGCAATGCTTCTTCAAGACCTGTGCTGCCCGAATTCTGATACCTTTTAGGCTAGTCCTGAGGCACAAAGAAAGATTGTGCCCAAATATAGTACATCTGTGACACTGTGTACAAGTTTACTTGTTAAAGCTTATGTACACCTTATTCTCAGATTCCTAATTGCCCCACCAATCCAAAATTTCTCAGAGACAACTTGGTATAACATCAGATTATTTATAAAATACATAGCTGTGACTTGCTATTTTGCTAATGTGGTCCAAACAAGAATGGTTAAATTAGTTTCTTAAGTTTTTTTCCCTTCTTTGCTTTCTAGCTGTAAGACTGAGAAAATTGACACTTTTTTGCTTTAATTTTTTTTTCTCTCTTTTTTTTTTTGCTTTTAAAAATTTTTTTTAAGGTGAAGCAGAGAACATACTTGACACACAGAGCACTTTGCTGGAATTGCCTAAAGGACCCCTCACATGTAAAGATTTGTAGAAAATCAGAATATCTCAGAGCAATTTCTTCACTGAAAATCAGGAAGATGGTATTAAAGCCACAAATCTGAAATGTGATTGTAATACTGCATTTTAACATAATTGAATCATTAGAAAATTGATAAGATTATGAGCTCTTATAAAATCAAAATGTAATGGATTTTAAAAAAATGCAATTTTCTAAAGCAATTGGTTCCATATTATATTTATCTCTTAAAAATATTCATTATTCTGTAGTATATTTTCCTTGTTTATGATGAAATATTGAATTTGCATTGTTTATCCAGAGTCTGAAAATAACTTTCACCTGTATTAAAAAAGTCTTTGGTATTGACCAAACTCAGTATAACTAATAAAGATATGGTAATTGGAAGTTATAAGTTTGTACAAATGTATAAATTATATAAATAAATATATACAATTTTCAAATACATTTCAGGATACACAGTTCAATTTGAAATCAGGAGCAGGCAGTTAATTTCTTTGAAAAATAAGACACTTTTTATTTGCTGTTCTTTAGGCAGTGAACTCACCATTTTCTGCTTCAAGTTCTGGAATAAACAGCTTTTATCAGTAGTAGGTTCATAAGTAAACACATAACTTGATAACTGTGTGTTTTACTCTTAGGGAAAACTGTGTTAAAGTATGAGGAGAGATAGCTTCTGAAAAAGAGGAAACAAATTATGTAGCTATTTCCCAAATCTTTTTCATGCATGTTCAACATTCTGAAATTCAGGATAATTTTTTTTTGATAATTGAAATCAGAGTTTCACTACTAAGATGAATATTAACTTAGGCTAACAGCAAGCAAAATTATTAATGTATGTTTTTGTAATGAGTAGATCCAAGTGACCTTACAAGTATTGAAAAACTGAGTGATTTTTCACATGCCTTTACTCTAATATGGTATATCCCAAGAATATAGTTTTAGTATACTTTAATGTTCTGATGTCACACTTGGAAAAATTGTTTCTGTATTGGAAATCTTGTTTAGAAACAGATTATTTTGTGGTTTGGATGGAAATTCTTCTAGCATTAATCTAATTGTGGAATGAAAAACAAATGCTCAAAGGCATCCAAAAATGAATTAAGCCAAAGTCTATATTGACAATTTGTTGACTTAAAAATTAAATTTCAGTTGGAGATAATGCCCCAAATATGATTTTGAAGACTACTTAACTAAACTTAGATTATTGTTACAATAAGACGGGCAAATATATATTGAAACCAAAGCTTCTCAATGCAGAAGAAATTAATAGCACAGTTTCCACAGTTTGCCTTCTGAAAGTGCATTAACTTCTGCAGTCACTTCCGTAATTGGTTCTGTCCCCTGCATGTTAACAATGCATACAGTCTGTAACTGATCTCAAATGTGATGTGTTTTAATGGTCAGTGCAATAAAATGAACACAAGTACTCCACTTTCTTCTTTTGCTTTGAATAACAGAGCATTTGCTATGTTTCCTCCAAGTTCTGAAGTCCATCTTCCTTTAATTTTGAAGAATTCTTGTATGTTTTGTTATATGTCATCTACTGATACTCTTTCTTCCAAAAAAGAAAAACAATTGAACCAGCCTTTTTGGGTATTTCCATGTCTCCATCTGTGCCTTTTAGCCCACATTTTAATCCTATGAAAGACATTTTCACAAGAGAATGGTTTTAACAGACCATACAGGAGTTTTACTTATAAATCTTAGAAAATTAGGAAATACCCTAATCGTATCCACTGTGAATTAGGAAATACCCTAATCGTATCCACTGTGAATCATATCCACATGTGCTTATGACAGATTCCTGACTATGGTGTTTGATCAAAAGCCAGTGTTAAAGGGAGCAAAATCCCTTACCTGGTCCAGGTAGCAGTTTTGGGGCATAATAGGGTAGCTATATATTAGTCCATCCAAACTAAATTTGATTTCTTTTCTCCTGAAGTTTGAACTTTGATAAATAATGTTAGTCTATTGTAAGACTCCACATAAAATGTGACAGAAATGGGGTAAGCTTAATCCAGTATTACACAGTATCAGTGAAATTCAACAAATTTATTAAGGAAAAGGCTCTAAGAAAGATGGTCTAACCCAGAAATAGATTTAGATGGGCTATATAGAATGTGCCAAAAATCATCAAGAGTTAAGAGTTATTCATCTTTATTGTCCTTATTTTTTACTGTTTGCTTTTGCTTTTTGAAAAAATGCATGGTTTTGTTTTGAAGATGCTCATTCTTTGTTGCAGAGTTAGTTAATTCTACTGCCAGTGCATTAATCAAAATGCTTGCATGTGGTGTGCACAGTCATATCTGTAACACAGTGATAGATACAAAATAATTGAGTGGTATAACTTCCTTCAGAAGACAGTGAAAATAAACCGGGGCTTAGCAATATCAAGCTTTACTTTGGGGAAATACATGTTTACAGTACAAGTTGCCCATATTAATCATATTTGTTATAGAAATAAATAAAGCACCTAAAACATCCCACTCCTTTCTGTCATTTGTGCTCAACTGGCCTCAGCTGTTAGACTTGCTTTAATATATCACAACAACTGTCTTTGTTTCCATGAATCACTGGGGAAAAAAAAGGAGAGCAATTCCAGGGGGAGCCTATGCTGGCCTGAAGGCACTACTCTTACCACCTTAATTCTGTTGGGTTTTTCTGGTTATTATGTCTGATAGCCATACATCCTGAATCAGTATCATTTGGAGCAGGATTATTCTGGAAAAGGGAGAGTCAGTCATTATTAGAATGCCAAAATTAAGCTGTTTGTGTTCTAATTATAGGTATGAACCCAAGGAAGTGCATGCCACCTGCAAGTCACAAGTGTTTCCACCTCACTCTTGTTTATCTGGTTGTGATAGTATATATGAGTACTGAGGAGAAACGAGCAGTTTGGGCTCCTTCCTACAATAAGGAAAGTTGAAAAGCATGGTCCCCTCCTACATGCTTTGCAGTTATTTTATTGCTGACTGCATATTGCTGCTCTTAAAAGGAAGGAAAGACACTTATGTGAACAAATACAAACAAGATTGTTTCTGCATTATTTCTTAATCAGCCTTGGACTTCATTATGCAAAAATGCATGGATTTCTTAACTTTTTCAATTATAAGTTTTCTTAAGATTGAACTTTTTCTAAACTGCACAATCCTCTAATGAAAGCAACTGGATAATGCTCGTGCTTGGTCATCAATAACATTGGTGCAGTGGTATTTCCTATTTGTTGCAGAATCCTGTATGGTATTAAACAAACTTTAAAAATACTGTAAATTCATGTTTGGACACCTTTCAAAAACTAAGTTGTTCTTGCAGCAGTGAATTGCATTAATTTGAAATTAAGTCTCTGGAAAATATCTAATGAAATCAGTAAGTTTTTGTCTTATTGCTGATTTTCTTTGTCTGACATTTGGGAGTCATAGGAATAAGGCTTTAATTCAAGGTATTCAAGGCTGCTGAGATATTGTTAAAGGATATCTTTTTTATTTAGACCCCAGTTTCCATGAAATCTCCTTTACCTTCTATAAACTTTGCTATTTCTCAACAGATTAATAATTTAAGGCAAGGAGATAAGTAGTACAATTATCTTTACCTTTTTATAAGAAATAAAAATATAAAAATCCTTGCATTGAGCCAGTACACTGGATGTACTTGCCTTGAAATATCCTATAGATCATGAATGGAAATTAGTTTCTTTACTCCACTGTTGTTTTTTCTTCTTTATAAAACAAACAGTAGGAAGTCATATAGTTACTTCAGATTTGTTAAATTTATATTATTATTCTTCTGCATGTTTTGTTTTGAATAGTAGTTTTTCTAGTCACTCAGGAGGTACTATCCTTCTTGCCTTGTCTGGGTAGTGCTTTTTCACATTACTACAGCTTTTCAGACACTGAAAAAACAAACCTGTCATCTAGAAGACTACTTAAAGCCCTTGCAGAAGTCCACCTGATGTGATGGTATTTTCAGAAAAAGTCCAACAAAATCAGAGACCAACAAAATCAAGGTGCTGCTCTCAAAATTCAAGTTGTAATTACCCCTGCACAACTTCTGTCTATAACAGTATAGTAGGTAAGACTTCAACTGAGGGAGGAACAGATCAAGGTTTTGTTCTTCAGGAATTTCAGATTAGCCGGCGTCCACTTCTGCAGATTGCATCCTAGCATTCTGGATGATGGTGCCTACTGTTGAAGCGGTATCACTGTTTAAACACTTAAGACTGGACCAAAAAGAAAACTATCTGGATTTTGGCTGGGGAAAATTTTAATTTTTAGTTTAGTTGGGGTAGATTTTAATTTTTTTGGTGCCTGGTATCGGTCTGTGTTTTGGATTTGTGCTGAACACAGGGTTAATAATAGAGAGATGTTTTTGTTATTGCTGAACAGATAAGAGCCAAGGCCCTTTCTGCTTTTGGTACTGCCACACTGGTGAGGGATCTGCGGGTGCTTGTGAGGAGATAGAGTCAGGACAGATCACCCATAATGTCTAAAGGGATATCATGCTGGTATATGAAGTGGAGGGGGGAAAGGAAGAAGGAGAAAGGAGGGTACATTTGGAGCCACAGCATTTGTCTTCCCAAGATGGCTGAACACCTGTGTGCCCACAGGAAACACTGAATCAATTCCTATTTTTCTTTGCTTTTGTGTGCAGGTTTTGTTTTCCCTGTTAAACTGCTGTGACTTTTCTCCGTTTTCTAAGTCTTTCCCCAGTCATACTAATGTGGGAATGAGCAAGTGGCTGTTTGGGGCTTGGTGGTTGGCTGGGGTTAAACAAAACTTTGCTCACTATTTTAGCCCTCCACAGCCTTGTTCTAGATCCAGCTCAGTGTAAAACACCCAAGTCCTCCTTGAAGAGGAAACTGGAGACTGTAACTTCTCTGCCAGCACAAGTGAATCACACACCTTTGTATACTAGTCTGCGTATATGTCTTCTCTCTGCTCTCCTAGATTGAGTTTTGATGGGTTTTTTATATGCCAACAATAGTCAAGGGTTTGAAAGCATAGCCTTCATGTGAAAGGATCTATAGACAACAACTTCAAAGTATTTTAAGAGAGATTTACTTCTCTGGTTCTTCACAGTATGACTTCTTATAAAAACTTCTTGTCCTATTGTACTGGGGAAAAAAACCCCCAAAAACAACCAAGCCAACAAACAAATCCAGAAGTAAAGTTTACTTTCACAGAGTGCATAGCTGTGCATGGAGTCCAAAGACCACTACCCTTGTCAGCAAGAGCCTGCTGGGCCCTATTCAGGAGGCACCCAGATGTGGAGCTCCAAATCTCTAGGATGCCCACATTGGAGCCAGGGTATCTCTGACACTTTGATGCCTATGGCTGCCACTGAACTCAGGCCTCCAGTACAACAAACCTGAGAGGAATTCAGGCTTTGAAATCCCCCTTCAAGTATCCACAGCTGAAGTACTTCCTTGCAAGTGCATTTCTTGTACTTCACTTGTTTCTGTCTTTTTATGTCGGACAACATTTTTAGGACACAGAGGTAGTTATGGAGATTCCAGACCTACAATGGCAAAAACACTCGAAATTAAGTTTCTCACTTTTTCAAAGCCTGGACTCCTCTCCGGGTAACTGTGGGGCAGGAGCCCGAGGAGGGAGTCCGAAATTGAGGCGTGGCGGCGTGAGGAGCCGCGACAGCTCGCCAGGGCAGAGAGAGGGCGCGGCGCTGCCCGAGGGCTCCGCTGCTTGAGGCGCAGGGACGCCCGGCGGGAGGCGGCAGCCGCGGCACCGGGGAAGGGGAAGGGGAAGGGGAGGGGGCGGGGGCCGGGGCCGGGGCCGGGGCCGGGGCGGTGACTCAGCGCCGACCGCGGCGCATAAAAGGCGGGCGGCGGCGGGGCTGGGCTGGGCTGGGCTGGACGCCGCGGTCGGGGGCCTTGTGGCGGCCGTCGGGTCTGCTGGGAACGCGCCCGTGGGACGGGGCCGGCGCGATGGGGATGGCCAAGCTGCGAGTGCTGTGCGCCGCCGTGGCACTGCTGTGCGCGGCGCCGCCGGGGCATCCCGGCGCCGTGCTGCCCGCGGGCGAGGGGGACGGGTACGGGGTGAAGCTGTGCGGCCGCGAGTTCATCCGCGCCGTCATCTTCACCTGCGGCGGGTCCCGCTGGAAGCGGCTCTCCCTGCTGGCGGCGGAGCCCGCGGCCGGTGAGTGTCCCAGGAGCCAGCCCGAGCGGCGGGCGGCTGTCGGGGCGCTCCGCTCGCTGCCGAGCGACGGCAGCGCTGCGAGGAGGGATGGGGAGGACGGGAGGGGATGGGGAAGGGCGAGCGCCCCGCGGCGCCTCTCGCTCCTCCCGCCCTGCGCCGCTGAGGGAAGGTCCGCGTCCCTCTCTCGCTTTCCCTCTAGATCCTAGCCGGCATTTCCGAGACTTTTGGAAGGACGACCTGAGATTCAGAGGGAAAGGGACTGCAGGCGCTGGGGCATTATTTGCCGGGATAATCCGCAAAGTTTTTGGTCAGTTCGGAGGTACCTCCGGCACGGCTGCCGGCCGCGGAGGAGCTCCTACTATAAAATCCGATAAAACCACGCTTCTCCCCTCTCTTGGCCGTGGGGGGAGATCTGATGCGCCCTGGGGAGCGGTGGGGAATGCCTGTCGCTATGGCTTCTCTGCCTTCCCAAGGCTCCGTAATTCCTCCGTCGGCGGAATGCAGTGGGGTTCCTGCCGGGGCTTCCCTCCCGCACTGGAGCCCTGGCGCCGCGCTGCCCGGCAGAGCTCCCGGGATGTACGGGAGCGCCACGGGCGTGGGATCGCGCGATGTTCCCACTCTCGGGGGCTCCTCTGCATCAAAGAGTTGGCACGCTGGGGAGCACGGACTCTGGTGCGCCAGGTGACAACCTTTTGGGCTGTGTTCTCAAGATGCGGTAAATGTAATAGTAATTTTAAGTGATTAATTTGTGTTGGTATTTTGAATACTGAAAAAGAAGCCAGTATTCTGGGTTTTCTGGGAATTTTTGCCACTTCCCCCCCCCCCCCCCCAACAGGTTGAGTAAAAGATAAAAGTAACCTTTGTAATTATAACAAATTACTTACATACAGCTTCTGTGGGGATTATGTTCTTGCTTAGAAAATTTTGCTTTCCTTTTTGTTAATAGCAGCTTCTGAGAACAGCAGTCACTAAGGAGCCTCCACTGTGCTGCATAATGTCTAACTAGGAGACTTCTCCACCCTAAAGACTATCAAATAGCAGTCACTGTCTAATTACTAAAGTAGCTACAGCTACTTTTATTTTTGCACCTACTCAGGCAGCTGTTCTATCTGAAAATTATGTTCTATATACTAATTAGCCATATTTAAGTAAATACAAATGTTGCTGGATAGTCTCACATTCTTTCAGCTTTCTGAAACAAAAAATTAACTGTATTAACAGCACTAAGGTGACAAGACAAAAGAAGCTGTTTTTCTTCACATTAGCAATGCCATTTGACTTGCAGAAGCAAAATCAAGAGAAATAGTGTAGGGTGCAAGGAAGTAGGGCTGTATTTTTGAGAACATTTTAGTCAGTGAGATGAAGCATGTCATAAGTAAATGCTGCAAGCCCCTGATATGCCTTGAGAAATGAAAGAAATTAGAGGAAGGCATCAGTTAAAAATAGCTATAGAAAAATGCAATCTAGGGATCAGTTTGCATACAATCTTTGCTTATTTAGTCCTTCCTACATTTGTTCTTCACTTGATGCTACTTTGCGTGGTTGTGCACAGGAGAGGAGAGGTCTAATCTAATTCATCCAACACAAGACACAGCTGTGTGATGTTTCTGGATACATGCCTTTACAACAAAATTCTGATTCTGTGGAAAAATTGAGACTTTATCAATAACACTGCAGTTGTGACAGGATGCCTTTACTTCAGCTACAGTTGTTTCTGTGTACTCTGCATGTCAAACAGGAGGTGTAGACTTTAAAACATAGATTCTGCTAAAAGTAAACTACAAGTACATCATGGTGTGGAGACACTCAAGTACTGACAGTTCTCCTGCATAACAGTGTGTCACTTATTACTAACTGAATGGGTTTTGTTGCTATTTCTTAGAGCTGTGTAATCCTTTTGATGCTCCTACAGTCTGAATTTAAGATAAGTCTTCTCTTTAAACCAGATTCTGCACAAACAGCAAGTAACAAACTACTGGGAAGCTTCAACCTGCAATCAGTTTTGGATCCTGAAGT